GGATGGCGGGGGCCCGCAGCCAGGCCCGGGTGGGCCCGTGCAGGGCCCCTCTGCCCGCCGCCGCCTCGCTCGGCGTGGGTCCCGGGGGTGGCCTTGGCATGTACTTTTGATTTAACCTATGCTTCTGTGACTTCAACTTGTGTTTCCATAGGTACTCTGAAATTATTTAGATGCTTATTATATGTGATTAATACTATTTATAGACAGGTTATATAACTTACAACTTAAATTAAGCTTCAGGTATGAAATGGAATTCTTTTTCCCTAGTAGTGAAAGGAAATACCTAATTAGTGTTTCCCCAAGCTTTTAAACAAATTTGGCAATTCAAGTAAGAGTGAGATTATATTTTTTCTGTACTTCCAATACATACTCTTTTACATAGTGAGACATTATGAAATTTATATACATGTTCCAAATGTCCTTAAAAGCTTTATTTCAGTAACTGGATCAAGGGGCCAGCAGGTGGTGTGGTGATTAAGTTGCTGGGTTCCCACATGACTGACTGTGGTTGAAGTCCCAGACTTGGCTCCTTGAAAATCACCCTGGGAATGAGTGTGTGTGTGTGTGTGTGTGTGTGTGTGTGTGCGCCCCAAATCCCAAGAGAATGGAGAAGAAGGGATTGTGGCATGGCTTCCCCTGCTGGGACATAATTTCTCACTTTCTCTCTTTCTCTCTCTGGTGAGTGCATGCACCCTATAGCAAAAACCTAAAAAAGAGAAAACTGAATCAAACAACATTTTTAAGTGCTTAAATTAATTGTAATTAAAAATTCAGTTCCTTTAGGGCCAGCAGGTGGTGGTGTGGTAGTTAGAGGTACTGGACTACCACATGGCTGACCATGGTTTGAATCCTGGACTTGATAGCTTGCTTTCTCACTTTCCTCTCTTGCGTGTAGCTCTTTTGCTCTGTGCTTCTCTGGTCAAATTAAATAAATAAATGAAGCTAGATAAAATATTTTTTTTTTAAATTCAGTTTCTCAGTCTCACTACTTTTCTTTTTAATAGCCCAAGCATGTGCCTGAGAGGGAAGCACCCTCAGCAGAATGGGTCTTGTGCTGCAGTCCCTTTTCCACAGCCCTCTAGCCCCTTGAGATCCTTAGGTATCTGAGTGCACAACCAGCTTGTCTCCAAGCCTATTAAAGAGTCAGAATCTGAGACCAGCAGATGGCGTTATGACTATGTCACTGGATTCCCATGTAGTCAACCGGGGTTCAAGTCCCAGCCCCAGTAGCTTAAACTCTTGGGCACATGTGCATGCTTGCCTGAGAGAGCCTGAGAGGAGAATGGAGGAGAAGGGATTGTGGTGTGGCCATCCCCCCTGGGGAGTGATTTCTTGCTTTCTGTCCCTTTCAGGCGAGTGCACATGCCCTGTAGCAAAAACCTCTCCCCCCTCCCAAAAAGAAAAAAGAACTTGCAGGTGGCCATTACACCACATTAGCTGGGCTCCACTAACACTTTGTATTAGAGCAAAAGATACATAGCATGAAATTTTAAGTTGTGCAATTCAGTGACATTAAGAATATTCACATTGTTTTACTGCCACCACCACTATGCATCTCTGGAACTTACTCATGATCTCAAACTGAAATTCTATGATCTTAAGCTATAACTCCTCATTCCTTCCTCCCTCCAGCCCTTGTGTTAGGACAATTCTGCCCAGACAAAACAGCCTTCCCTCTGTAAAGAGAGGATTAAGCTTAGACCAAAGAAAGAGGCAGACCACTCCAGATGGGTAAAGTCACATTTATGCAGGGGGAATCTACAGAAGAGGCGGTCTGGAGTGGCAGCAAGACAAGGCACAAGACTGTGCCTAGGCCAGTAGATTTAAGAAATTACAAAAGGAAAAGAGATGATACTCAATGGTAGATTATGGGAAAAACAGCAGAAA